ATAGCGCACGTTCTCGTTATCATGGCGACGGAGACATTTCCGAAACATTGAGCAAAAAGTAACTGGTCCTAAGAGTCGGGTCCATGTTATATATCTGTTAATTGTGCTCTTGATTAAAACCCTGCCAGCAAATGATTTAGATGCGTCTCCTAAATATAATAATCAAGTTTCCTTATTATCCATCCTGCCTTAAAGAGTTAAGTCGTAAGGAACGGTCCTTCTGTGCGGACGATGCAGCCTTTATAACGGTTCGCTACCACAACACAGTACTATTCTAGGGAACATTAAGCACTGGTCGTTTCTTGAGGGAGGCAACACGAATATATGATATCTGGAAGAACTATGACGGAGACCACTCGAGGATTTGATGAACGCTTGGGAGCAGCTGAGCACGTACAGTAGCGTCTTATAAGCCCTTAAAACGTGATTTGGATGTCAAAAGTTAAACTATCGAATCTAATTTTCGCGGGATTTTTATCAGTCTTCAGCACGGATCGAAAAGCGAACGAAGTCAAGTTGTTTCGAGGTTTAAGATGCTTAGCCTATACGAAGGGGAGGGTTGATTTCAAGTCTTTGAAATCCACTAGCCTTGCCCAGGAGTTACTTGAGGGTCAAGTAGGTCGCTAGTCTCCTGATCGCCGGTGTTGCTAATCGACTATGCCAGGGAGGTCACAGGCGAAGTGAGCCGTTGCCTCAAGGCCCTAGAGGGCACATCCTGGGCCATTGCCGACTACACTAAAGGACTGGCCTAGCCGCAACTCACTTATGCGGCACCAATATGGTCTCCTACGATCAGCCCTTCCAGCCTCCGCTGCCTTCAGTCAGCACAGAATGCCGCCCTCCGCTCAATCACGGGTTGCTATAAAATGTTGTCTATCTTCATTCGGAGGCCTCTGTCCTGCCGGTAGCCCCTCACAACGCACTCATAGGCCAGCAGTTTTGGTGGACCTGTTCGCAACGCGGCCGTCGTAATTACCACCGATGCCACGCTCTTGAACCCAGCCACAGCGTTCGGACGTCTATTAGAGCTCTTACAATGAAGCTGTCGTCTCGTGTGTCTCGGATTTACCCGTTGACCGCTCTGCCATCATGACAGGCTTCCAGCGTCTTTACCAGAGGGCCGCTGTCGACGCAAAACTACGCTACCACATCACGGTCCTTTTGGACGACTATCCTACTCCGATTGCGGCCTCGGAACAACAACTCCCGAGAGTCAC